TTTCTGTACCTGGAGTTTACAATGATGCAGCCTTGAGGTTGGACCCTGTCAGGGGAACATGAAGCGATCCAACAGTGCGTTAGATGAACTGAAATCATTTTCTGTGAGTCACACAGCCCCCAGCAATACGCTACCTCCACTGCCCCTCTGAGGAAATATGGAAAGCGTGTTCAGAATGAAGCAGGGTTTCAGACAGAAGGCCACAGTCAAGAACAACTTCTTACACATTCAGTTCACATTCACATTCAAGTATATTTGTAGCCAAAATTTTATGACTTTGCTGTGTAGACAGCTACTGGATGTCCTTTATGAGACAATCATTCATAAGCCACTTGGTAATACTTTATTATCTGTTGCACCTGTTACCACACCAAACAGTGACATCACAGTGTACTGACACACCCTGTAGAAGTACTCTGCTACATCATGTGTAAGTAAGTTGCTCTTAAGGATATATTTGGAGTTACAGTAACGGTATTCTGACAATGTATTATAATACATGATAACATACATAAAAGATGCTAGAATGAACATCAGCTGACTTAAAAACAAACATTTATTTCTCACACTGAATTTCCAAAATTTAAATGAAAACCTTTTTGTGAAAACACCATCACTCATGTAGCAGATGACCAGTTTATTTGAGGAGTGCTACATTTGGTCGGGAGCATTCACATCAATACATTTCTCGACTGCTGTGACAATCATTAGCAGTAAAATTGAATTGTCCCTCTCTAGTCCTTGTCCATCTAGAAAGTCCATTCCCAGAAGTCAACTTGTGCCCCTCCTTTTGAGTGTATCTGGGAGTTTGACTGAGTCATTAGGTAGCTGGGCTACGGCCTTTCACAAGACTCTCACTGTCCTGGAGGCCACAGACTGGGGATAACTCAATTTGCCTACTCTCACCAACTCTCTCTGACTCTTGTCTTTTTCTCTGCTGAGCAAATGCAGTAAAATGAAGTCAACCTCTATCTATCAAATCTATTGTCTGTACTGTTTTGGTGGTTGGAGGAACTTTTGCTGCCTTTTATTTTTCATCTTTGTAGGAAAGATATTTCTAATGTTATTTATTTTCTGGCTTTATTGCTGCAACATCACTGAATGATGTCTGATTGGATTTGATTTTAAAGGGTTACAAGCCTGAAAATATGAAAGAAGGGTCTGCATACTGTAACTCCCTTACAGCCAATTTATTAGCATATCCCCATGTGATGTTTCAAGCTAATGCTCTTCCTCAGTCTTATTTAAAGGGTTGCAAGCCAAAATAGTGACTGATTGGATCATGAGATTTTGAATATCGCCACTGTGGCGCATGGCGACGTAACGGCCGATACCTCCTTCAAACGATGAAGATGATCACATGAAAAGTCATCTGAAATGAAAGCACAGGGTGAAAGCTGACACTAAACTGAATTTTCAGCTTTAATTTGTATTAAAAAGCAGCGGAAGGAATATGAGTAATGCCTTGGAGCTAAACTGCATTGTGTCACTAATGGCTGGACTGGCTTTAAAAGCTGAATAATATCAATAATGTGTGAAAGATGCAGCAAGTTTTGATGAAAATGTCATGCTAAACTGAATTGCCTGCATTCATTTGTCTGGAGAAACAGCTGATGTTGTGGGAAAGAGTCTAATTACTATGAAAAAGTTGAATGAATCTCACAACCCGCACAAGTGCATCCCAACAGGGGGAGCTACACCCTGTCCAGGCAGTCACATGATACAAAATACCTGAAAAACCAAACAAACCAATATATATACACTCTTCATAAGAAACACTTCATAAGAAGCAAGCAAATGAAATATCTTCATTCATTTCACTGGAAATGAGCGTATCAAGGAAGTGTATCCAACACATCTCCCTCTGGAAAGGGATTCTGCCCCTATTGCCACCTCTCTGTGGCATCTTCACTGTCTGTGCCCATGTAATGTAGTTCACTCAAGCTGTGGTTTTGACTATTTAAGTTCTTAAAGTATTATTTTTTGGGCCTTTTATGCCTTTATTTGACAGAGAGAGAGATAGACAGGAGAGGGGGGCAGAAAGAGAGGGGATGACATGCAGCAAAAGGCCACAGGTTGGATTTGAGCCTGGGCCGCTGCATATATGGGTCGCCAGCTCTACCGACTGAGCTAACCAGGCGCCCTGACTGTTTAAGTTCTTAGCCACTGTTGATTTAACATCATGATTACGAATAAAACACTGTTCACAGATCTTGGTTTTTAACTCTGGTTTAATTTTCCATTCGTAATATAAATGACATCTGCATTTTAACAGATAAATCACATTTTTAGTGTTACATGTGACCTTGATGTCAAAACCAGACTGGTGAATATAATCCCCTTAATCATAGAATAGCAGTGTATACAATTATGACAAGGGAAATACCCACTGGGGATCTGAACCAAAACTTGTTGTGCCAGTTGTGATAACCTATTATTAATTCCACTTTGATTGTCAAATTGCCAAAATACACGCTGAGGAAGGACGTCTTTCCTAATATTGGCATTATTAAAAAATGAAATTGGAATGCTTTCATAGTCATAACATTTTGTGCTAGAATGGAACACTTAGTAGCCATAGCAACAGTAACTAAGGGGAACAGTGGGCAGGGCAACCTCAAAGTAACATCAAAGCAGTAGTTTCAAAGTGTGATGTCATCAGCGGGTCTTTAAATACCGTAAGACGTGTTAAAACAAAGTAATTTAATTTCAAACCTCACAGTAAGTGATATAGCATTGTAAGACACACTACAACTTCAAACAGCAATACACCATGGCTTTAAATCTGCGTTATTCCGTTCTGGGCCCCTACAACTGGACCAGGGATCTGATTTCCAGCTTTCTCGGTGGCTCCCAAAAAGAGGCCCTTGTCAGACAAGTCGAGGAGCTTAAAACTCAGCTCAAAAGAGAAAAGGAACACCATTCCTCTCAGGAGCAGAAGATCACTAAGCTCTCCACCAATCTGGAATCAGAGACCAATGAAAACAAGATTCTCTGGGACCAGGTTCAGTATTTGACCAATGAGGTCCACAAAGAGAAGAACTGGAGTAAGCAGCAGGCAGATGTATGCCAAAAAGAAAGAGTCAGAGGTTATGAGGAGTACACTCTGAGGATCCAGCTTGGCCAACAACTTGAGGAAATGCAAAGACAGCTGGCTGAACAGTGGAGGCACGAAGAGTACATGGTGGCTAAGGAGAGGGAAACTCAGAGAGAGCTCGAGAAGCTCACTGCCTCATACAATGAGCTCCACCAGGCATACACATATGTCTACCATGCACACGACGAGATCCAGCAAAGGTATGACAAAGACATGGAGGCCGAAGAACAGGTCAATGTCACCCTTCAGCAGGAATTCGAGGTGCTTAAGGCTTATGTAATCAAGGCGTCACGGCACAAGGAGGAGGTTCAAAGCACGAGGTGTCAGCTGGACGCCTTCTGTCAGAAAAAGGAGCAGGAGGCCAAACTCCTGCAACAAGAGGCCTTTGAGAGGGAGAAGTGTTTGCTTATGGAGTTGGAAGGCATGAAAATCCAACTCCATGAGCAGACCTCAGAAACCATTGCACTTGTTGCTAACCTCAAGGTTAAGAAAGAAGGCAGTCAGGTTCTCCCCACAGAAACTGTCCAACTCATGGAAGAGTTGACAGACCAGGTGTGCCAGCAGGAGGAGTCCCCTACTGTCTCACAGGACGCTGAACTAGTGGAAGAAGAGTCCCTCTGTGTTGTACAGGATCCTGAACGTGAGGAAGAAGAGTCCCTCTGTGTTGTACAGGATCCCGAACGTGAGGAAGAAGAGCCTGAAGTCTTTGGTGAGAAGGTTGTGGAGAAAAGAAAGAAGCCATCTTTATGGAAAAGAGCTCGCCACTTCCTCGGTTTGAGGAAGAAAAGGACAAGCGACACATCCAACAGTGACATCTGAATGGAGGTTTCCTGCGTGTTACTCCCCGTGTCTGTGTGGGTTTCCTCCGAGTGCTTCGGTTTCCTCCCACATGTGTCAGTTGGACACAAATAAAAAAAAAAATTCTAAATATATAAAAACTTTAAATATATAAAAAAATCTAATATATAAACAAATAAATAAATACATTTTTTAAAAGTAAATGTACTGCCTCAATAAGTGTATCTTACAGTAGTTACAGTTTAGTTGTTGATTGGTTACCCAGTGTCAAGAAGCAGGTCTTAACATTAGCCTATCAGAGGAAAGCGTGAGGAGGGAGAAAACATGAATCCAAGTTGGCATGCTCTGTTAGCGAATTCACACCATAATACAGAATGATTATAACCCTTATCCCTGAATTATTTTAGTATGGTTGGTTATGTTAACCTAAATGAACTGAAACCAATGCCGAGCTCAGTGTTAGTAACAGACCATTATGGAGAGGACAACAAATGTACTGTAGTGCCGACTGTGGGCAGAATTGTATGGGATATTATACACATGTGCAATGTGGCTGTATGTACAACATTGTCAAATTCTGTTGCAATCAAATTTAACATTAAAGAGTGACAGCCCTTAAAGTGCATAAGCCCAACAGCTTCAAACGCTGGTTAACCAATCATGGGCAAACGGTATGTGATACCTAAAAACAAACTAATAAGTTGTGTAAAAAAATAAAGGGTTAAGGGTTCAAAAGTGCTGGAAAATGTTTCCAGCTCCAAATAAACGTGGCCTATAGCCATTCATTTGCTTAATTCAAGGAACTGAAACATGCTTGAATAAAGAAAAGTCAAAGCAACTTGCAGCACAATTACATTTATTTTTTGTGTATGTCCTGGGAACAGTGCAGTAAGAGTTGTGTGGAATAACATATGGAAATCCATATGGTTGAAGAGTAATTAGTATGAGGAATAGCAATGGCACACTAATTACCTTGTAAATAACTTTTGTTTATCCGAGTATTGAGTCAGGAAGTCTAATTACTGAGGACAAACGTGAACTTCAGTATGTTGGTGCAGAATGTACCTTCTAATCTCAGGTTGTGTTTATTCCTTGTGTACCCCAGGCGGAGTTCTCAGAGATCAACCTGGCCTCCTACGTTAACTCTGGATGTATGGTGGACATGCAGGTCAACAAAGGTGGCACCAAAGTGGTCAGGTAAGATGCTCGAGGGCGAAAAGGAGCTTGAGTCCTTTGACGCATTTGCCCACGCAATCTGTAATCTGCCTCAGTGAGCCTGCACAAAGACTCTTTCTCTCAGTGGCATTGAGCATGACTGTGTATATATAACATTGCTTGCACTCAGAGAAATCAAGGCAGTAATGTGATTATGGCATGGGGAAACAAAAAAAAGACTTCTTACCCTATTTCAGCCTTGGTGGGAAATTAGTGTGACAATGTTAAAAACAGAAGGATTTAAAATATTTAATCTTGTCACCTCTTAAACTTATGAGCACCGTTTTATGTCATCACCATCATGCTATTCCATATTGCATAATGCATGTTAACAACCAGGGGTTTTAGCTGTCTCCATCAACCTCAAAACATGAGTAATTTCTATGCTATTTCTGGCTAGCTACTGAGCATTTGGGTCATTTAGGTGCATCTGAAGTGTAAAAAAAAACCCTTTTCATCTTGCAGTGGCAGAAGTGGCCTCTGGCCAGATAGCAGCAGCAGTTAGACCAGTGAAGCTGTGTATTTAAATAGACTGCTCTGTTCTGTGACGTTGGCTGATGATCAGCTGATCTGGGTGGCAAAGATGACTTCAGACTCCCGAGAATTGGCACCATCTACTTATCTTATGCTTATCTCGATGAACCATATAATGGAAGTGGATGGAAACATGCATTCATTCATATTTTCTTTTTCCGATTTACTCGTTCTTCAGTTAGAATTTGCAGTACATTTGGAAACATGGCCAATGTTGTGTTTTGCAGCCCCCAGCTGCTTCCTATTTCCAGCAAAGTCAAATTAATCATATCTTTTCATATGACTCATTTGGGAGTGGGAGGATTACTATTAAATCATTAATCAACACTGTTGCTAAACTGTATGCAGCATCACTTAAATATAATTTTTTTCATGGAAGACATATTGACATATCACAGTAGTAAAAGCACAGGTTTAAATAATAAAATTAATTTCAGGGTCCTGGTATTGTTCATGTTGGCTCATTGTCACTGCTTACTGGAGCACTTGAAGAGAGCAGAGCCAATACTTTTGCTTTTCCTACTATGACAAGTCAAAATGAGTCTGTCTGTATCTTTAAATTGATAGTTCTTTTGTTTTATTTGTTTGTTTGTTTGGTTATTTACTTTTTTTTAATATTTGGATAAATCAGCAGTCTTTTTTTTTTTTTTTGGTTGTTATGTTTGGCCTCAGCTAGCTCTCTCCTTGGCATCCAACGTGGCATCAACTGTCACTGCTAGAGCGCAGAGTGATCATACATACCATATCTGCAAAGTCTTCTGCTTCCTACACTCCAGGATTCTGAGCTTCTGCATCCTGATTGGTCCATTCGATCAGCTAACTGAGTCCATGCCATCCAGTGTCAGCCCACCAGTGCTCATTCTAGCCTTCTTAGGGAATAATCAGCTAATCTGTGTTGTGGCCTCGACTCCACACAGTTTTGCAAAATAACTTTCTTATCAGTGTTGTGCCGGAAATGGCCTCACCGTGCAGCGCAGTGTGAAATCATGCAAGAATAATCACAGGGAGACACGGGCTGATATTACAATGCAACCTGTTGTCGGGATCTACACAGAGGTTATTGTGTGGGTTGAATATTTTTTGGGTGATATTGCTGTAATGATAGAGAAGCCAAATTGGCTGCAGATGGTCCGACTGCTGCCGCGTTCACACAACACTGACATTCACTGCCAAATTGTTGCGGTTTAGCTTGTCGTTTATGACTCTGAACATGACTACAAACACTACAATGGTTGATTGTAGCTGGCAGTCTGATGCTCGATGACTGTTGAAGAACAGTGGTTAGAAACACGATCTTGTAGCTGGAGAGTTCAAACCCCCAAAAAGTTGATATCTTTTATTGAGTAAGACACTGAAACATTCCCTGGATAAAATATATCTAAGTACTCCAGAATGTAAAGATTAAAATCTGTGATTGTCGTAGATTGTTGCTAATGAAAGCTAATTACCTCTTTGATTGTTTCATTCTCAGCCGGAAGAATGTTGTGATACGTCCACAGATAGACTCAGGATAGACAAAACACTACTTTCCCAAGCACAAACTAAATGCACTCTGTACATTTATCTGTGTGTTGTGTGTGTGTGTGTGTGTGTGTGTGTGTGTGTGTGTGTGTGTGTGTGTGTGTGTGTGTGTGTGTGTGTGTGAGATCATGCAAGTATAACGGGCACGTTTACACTATACTGTGTATTTAAAGCGGGTACCTGCTTTTCCTCTGACTGTTGTGTTCACAGTACTCTGTCCTCCGTCCAAATGCACGCTCTCTGAACACCTCTCCTCTGCTGGCTCCATGCAGCAGCACATTTTCTCACAGTTCTGTGGTTTCAGGGTTGTTTATGCACTGAGGTTTCTCTCACTTATGTCATGTTTGCTGTGCGTTACAGAACTATGAATCTGCTGTATGGTAGTATGGTAAAAGATATCCAGTGGAATGGAGACAATGGATCTCATGGATGACAGCTCAAGAATGAGTTAAACTCTGGAAACAGGAAACATATATTTTGTGTGAATCAGGAGTGATAAAACAGTTTTAATCTGTCTTTACAGCAGGCATAAACATGCATACTGATTACAGTGCATCTAGTGATTGCTGTGTAATCCGATCATGTGTATAATACGCCAGTGTAAATGTAAAGATCCAGTCATCCAAACAAGCTTTATATATGATCGCATAAACATTTAGCCACCGTAGCATCAAAGTGTAAAAGAAGTGCATCTGTAATCAAAATGCCAGAGCTACATAAACAAGTTAACTTTGAACCTGGACTGTCAGGATACCGATGAATGTCGAATATAAATAAAGATGAGGTAATGAAAAAATAGCCTTTATGGTGTGTGCTAGAGTTATGCTTTAACTTAAGGCTGTGAATTTAATGACACCAGGGCCCAAATGCTATTTCCCCACACAAAGGCTGCTATGAAAGTGTGTGTCTATACGTTCTCCTAGTTGGAGCTCAGTCTGATATGTTAGAGTGAAAATGGAAAAATATGGTGAGACTGAATAGAGACCCTTGTAGAGTCCATTCAATATAAGTGTTATAAACTAAATTACTGAGTACCTTCTTGATCTTTGATGATGACATATCACTGCAGATGACTGGGACGTGTGATCAATTAATGGTAATGCCCATATTATCTTTAATTAATCACAGCCATGGGCATTGGTTGTGTGTAATCACAGCTGGTCTGACATTGGTTGTTTGCTATTTGTTCAAATGTAATTTACAGGTCTAAAGACTTGTGGTGTAGACATAAATATTGACATGCAAACAGATTGTTAATGGTGTGTCTACATCAATTTATGGCAGACTGCAGGAGTGCAAATCAGACATGTGCACACAGTCTACAATAATTGATATAAAACAGAACCCTGTGTATACACTGCTTTATATATTTGATTAAAAAAAAAGAATGCATATATATATATAGAGGTCTGGCTGCAACATAGAGTTTCGGTTGTGAACCTGTGTAAAGTGATCTGGCCCCAGATCTAGAAACGAAATGCAACTGTTAGGTCTTACGAATCATCATGTTTGTATCATTTTTCATCATATCATTCTCTTGGTTTTCACATTACTACCATACTTTTGCTTTCCTCACAAGTTTGTCTTGATGAGCCAAAACAACAGCTCAATACGAAGTTGCAACAAATCCCGACCGCCAGTTCCTGCTTCCAGGGCATTAAAAGTGGCTGCTTACATGCACTTTTGCTACCCCTATGTGCGACGTGCAACGTGGCACGCGATGCACGGCCTACAGTACAGCAGAGCGACACGCCACAAGGTACAGTAGTTATGGCGTGTCGTCCCTCCGCTGCACTGCTGTAGTCAGCCCTTTGGCTTCTCCGCTCTCTGCTGCCAAAACCTCCAGCGAGCTCCTCGGCTCCAAGTGGGAACGCTGGTCTGGCTGAAAGACGGATCACAGCAGCCAAAGTATGATAAGCCACAAAGCAGCATTCCTCTCCTCTGCCATCCTCACAAAGCTCCTGGTGCGGGTAATAAAACCTGTTGATTAATTAGTGGTGATTAATACCGGGAAGTGGGTTAACTGTTGGTGACTGAGGAGCTTATTGAGCTTGTTTTACTGTTGCACTAAATGGAAGTAGTTTTGGGTCGCAGCATCAGCTAGATGGTTAAAATGTGGATGTAAAAGTAAATGTGAGGTGTAGGTTTTAAACAATTTGAAATGTATTGCTCTTAGAGGGCCTAATTAACACTAGCTTCCCACAATATTACACCTATGAGGACACTGCTACCTACACTAAAACTGAATTTAAATGAAACAAGCTGCATTCAAGCCAAGCAGGCAGTTTTTTTTCTTAATACACAGCACTTTGACAGAATTTGAATTGATCATTCAGTCATTAATTTTTACTAATCTTTCTATCTTGGTCCCTTATTACCTTCAAATATGGATGTACTACTTTATTTTTCTGATACTATAATTACAAAATGCATTCATTACAATTCTGAAGGTGTCAGATATGATATGATGGTTCATTATAAAACAATAATCCAACCAATCAGTGAAAGCTGTAAGGGTTTGGTCTAACTGATAGTAACTCTGGACTTACAATAGCATCATAACCAATAAACAACGACTCTAGTCAAACCATGCCATACCAAACTTCATTTTTCATTTTTGCTCATAAGGGGAAGGACTGTTAATGTGTAGATTGACGGTGCCATTGATTTGATTGGTTGAAATTTGCCTGTGATAGAAGGTGATCGACAGATGGGTCATCCAATCACCTGCTGAGTTTTTTTTGAAAGTGCCTGCCCTTTTCGAAACAGTTACCATTGACAGCTTCCCAGACGATTCTGTGTAACAAACCATCAGGTTACCACAGCAGGGTGTCCTATTATAAATCGTCAAGAGCCAAATTTGGCTAACGCAACCAGAAGTAATGGATGTACATTCCTTTCTTATCAGTGTAAAAGTTATTAAGTGT